AAACTTGGTTAAATAAAAATTTACCTGACAGTCTATTATGTCCTAGGTTTTACACTATTCTTTGCTGTGACAGAAGTAGTAAAGGTGGTAAAATAGCAATATTTTTTCGCAGTTTTATACAATTTACAAAAGTTGACATACCACCAGAGTTTCATAAGTTAGAAATTTTATGTGCTGATTTAAAACTTAATGGTCAGTCGTTCAGAATTATTGGTTATTATCGCAGTGGGGGTTTCAGTAAAGAAGCTATTGACTATATGCAGAGTAGTATAAAATGTTTCTTTATATTGTGTTCGATCAAAAAAAATGTGGTCATACTAGGAGATTTTAACTTACCTGATATAGACTGGCACTACTATCATGGTCCAGATAATGTTATACATAACTCTTTTTTACATTTTATAAACAGATATAGTCTCACTCAGCATGTTGATCAAGCAACTCGAGAAAATAGCATCTTAGATCTTATTTTGAGTTCTTCCACTTCATTTATCAATAATTTCTGTATTGAACCACCTATTGGTACTAGTAATCATAATGTATCATATTCACTCCTAATTTAAGCTGCTTATATAATAAAACTGAAGTTCTAGTTCAACAGTTCTTATGTTGGATAAATGCAGATTACCAAGTTATCAATAAATATCTGAAATCGGTAGATTGGAGTATTATCTTTAAACATGTTTTAATATTGAAGCTTGTTGGCATACTTTTTCTACTATACTAAATAATATTATTACACAACATGTACCTAAAGTGCGAGTCTGTGAAGAGCATAAATTATCACATAAAATACACTATCCTTATTATGTTAAAAGGTTGATATACAACAAAGCAATGGCATGGAAAAGATCAAAAGTAACAGGTAAATCTAATGACAAAGCAGCTTATAAATCAATTGCGGCACAATGTTCTGATTCCATTAGAAAGTATCATGCAGCAAAAGAACTTAAGATGATACGCAAAAACAACCTTGGCAGTTTCTTTAATTTTGTCAATGGAAAACTCAAAACCTGTAGTATACTCAATTACATTTGTTGATCCGATAATACCCTTTGTCATGATAAAGAAGAAATACCTTGTACTTTTTAATAACTTTTTGTAAGTGTTTTTACATTCGATAATGGTTTATCACCTAAGTTTGGGAATCGTGTTAACATACATTCATCTTGCCTGTCATCTATTAACTTCTCTCCTTCTACAGTCGAAAAAGCACTGAGAGCACTTGAACCAACCACATCTACTGGTCTAGATGGCATTCCCAATGTTTTCCTAAAGAATTGTGCCAATAGTTTATCGATTCCTTTAAGCCATTTATTTGATACCTCATTTAAAGATGGTGCTTTACCGCTAGACTGGAAAGTAGCAAGCCTTATTCCAATTCGCAAAAAAGAATCAACAGTTGACCCAGGTAATTATAGACCCATCTCCTTGACATATACTTGTTGTCGTGTAATGGAAAGAATCATTAATAACAAACTGATTAATTATCTCTTGCTCAATAATCTAATCACAAAAGAGCAGCATGGTTTTATTCGTAAACGTAGTACCTGTACTAATATTCTAAAAAGTCTTCATAACTTATTTATTTTGATTTTAAGAAAGCTTTTGATTCAGTTTCACATCCTAAGTTACTAATGAAATTACCTGCTTACAGAATAGTTGGCAATCTTCTAAATTGGCTAACTAATTTTCTGCACATGAGATCACAATTTAAACAATGTTACTTCCCATGCTATATCTGTAACAAGTGGTGTTCCACAGGGGAGCGTTCTTGGGCCTATTCTATTCTTATTGTTTATCAATGATGTGAACCACATTAATAAACAGCTTGATGTCAAACTTAAACTTTTTGCTGATGATATTAAATTATACTCAATCTATGATATACATGGTCTTCATTCAGACCTTCACATAGCTGTTAATCGTTTGTACAAATGGAGTTGTACTTGGCAACTCCAAATAGCAACTGAAAAATCCTTTGTCTGTACTATTGCTAACCAGAGTAAAAACATAACCCAGCGTGTTTACACCATAAATAACCATGAACTCGCCCATGTTAGCTGTATAAGAAATCTTGGAGTTACCATTAATAGAAATCTCAAATTCAATCAACATATCAATCTTATCATATATAAAGCTATGTCAAGAGCTTATCTTGTTCTAAAAACTTTTTATTCACAAGATACATTGCTAATGGTTAAAGCCCACTGTACTTATGTACGACCTATGCTTAAATATTGCTCTTCAGTATGGTCACCTTACACTATATGCCTGATTAATAAAATTAAGAAAGTGCAGTGTTTCTTCACTGAAAGAATTGCTGGTCTGTGGTCAGTCTCCTATGATAAGTGTCTAGCCATACTAAAGCTTAACACGTTAGAATATCAATGAGTGTTTAAAGACTTAGTTTTATGCAACAAAATTCTTAACGGTAAACTGGACACTGACCTATCAAACATTCTTATTCTTAATTCTTACATGAATAATTTTGGTCATAACTTTAAACTGTACAAACACCATTGTAGTTTAAACAGCACTAAGTGTTTCTTTTCTAATCGAATTGTTAATGTATGGAATAGCTTATCGGAGAATGTGGTATCTGCATCATCTGTCTCGATGTTTAAGAACCATCTTGCTGTACTGCTTTGTTCAAGTTGATACAATTTTGTTCTTACTTGCCCAGCACTTAATACAATTTAATATTTCAGTAAAAAATTTGTAACATATACTCAGTGTTAGTGGCCTTCGGGTCCTTCATATAAATTGTTGTTTTCAAATAAATAGATTTATAAATAAATAACACTAGCAGTATAATTTAATAAAACTATTTACACTTCATTTCCATTTTTGCATCTATTCAGTTGATCAGATAAGCAATGTATAAATGTATGAAAATGCAAAATATATAAACCTAGAACTTTACATTTTTCACTTTTTATTAATATTACATATTTTTTATAATTAAAACATAAAAATGAAAAATTACTGCTACATTGAAAATCAAGTATAATAAAAACTGAAAGGGAAATTTGTAAGACAAAAAAATATATTGATTCTTTTGATTAAATTTCTATTTGATTAAATCTCTTTTGATTTAAATTTCTATTAACTAATATATAAATTAAAACTCTTTTGATTAAATTTCTAGATGAGAAATGCTATCTTTATTATCATTTGTTTTTTGTTATTGTTCACTTATCATAATTGGTTAGAGCTAATATAATTATGCATATGTTTAATTATGTATAATTAAAAATCATTTTTTAACTAAGGTTGATGTTTCACTCAATATTTATTGACAAACATCTCCTATCTCCTCTTTTTTTAATTTACCGCAAGCAAATTATACTCAATCTATGATATACATGGTCTTCATTCAGACCTTCACATAGCTGTTAATCGTTTGTACAAATGGAGTTGTACTTTGCAACTCCAAATAGCAACTGAAAAATCCTTTGTCTGTACTATTGCTAACCAGAGTAAAAACATAACCCAGCGTGTTTACACCATAAATAACCATGAACTCACCCATGTCTCACTCAATATTTATTGACAAACATCTCCTATCTCCTCTTTTTTTAATTTACCGCAAGCATTTTAAGGCTCGTGTTATTAAAACTTAATTTTCATTTGCTATTCAAAAGTAATTAAAAATGACATTAATCATTTTATTTAAATTCTAAATAAAATAATTAAAATAAATAAAATAATTTAAATAAATAAAATAATTTAAATAATTTAAATAAACTCCAAACAAAATGATGAAAAACACAGTAAACAACCAATTTATGTAAACTCTAAATAAAACAATTAAAAAAAAATTGCAAAACAAATGTTTATTTAATCTTTAAATAAAATAGTTAAAAACAAACAATTTGTTTAAATTCTAATAAAATATTTAAATTAAAACAGTATACCAAATTTTTTATTCTTATTCTTAATAATTCTTAATAAAATATTAAAACAAAAATGGCAAAATGAAAGTTGTATTATGTAATGTAGTAGAAAAACAAAAACAAAAAATTTTTATTACAAAACTTTTTCTTTTATAATCATTTTCGAAACATATTTAATTTAAATTAGAAAGAAAAAGCATTTGCTGCAACTAAAAAAAGGTACATCCTATTATTGCAAGCCTTTAAATAAGTTAAATATCATAACTAAAATGGGAGTAACTGAGTTTAAATCAAGTTTAAAAAAATTAACTAAAAAAATAGTAATGCATGTTTCTGAAGACTGTTTAATGGAAAGTTTTAGCTTAGTTTCTTTCCATATATTTAAAACATAACATGTTACTACGTAGTTAGCAGTAGTGGTGTAATGGTAGAGCGCTCGCCTTATAAGCAAGAAGTTCCGAGTTTGATCTCCACTACATCCTTGGTAGTACCACGATCAACTTGTTTTTCCATGCAGCGACCTTGTTTGTCAAGTATTGTGTTTTAGAGTTAAAGAGTTAGGAGAGGATTGTAACCACAACTAAAAAGTAGCTTCCTTAACTGTATTACTTCATGGCCTTGGTGAAATACAAAAAAAATGTGTAAAATAAAAATTCAATAACAAACTTAAAAACAAAAATGATAAAATGCCATGTTTGCTTTTTAATTATTAAAGCAAATGACGATGTTTAAATAAAGTAAAGTTGGCGAACTTGAGGTTCATTTTTGTTAAATTTTATGCTATAGATTAGCTTATTTACAAATTCATCAAGCCATGGTCACTATTTTTCCAAATGATGCTATTAAATTGTTTATTATTGCTATCAGTCCTTTCACTAGATAATTGTATGAGTGACTTCATCTTTTACAACTCCTTGTTATTTTAACTATTGTATTTAATATTTATTTTAGATTATTTTTGATATTGATTATAACTTTCATACTATACTTTATTATTACTTTATAATATAATGATTTTAAAAAGAAATAATTACCAATATTAAAACACCAATAAAATTAATATAAAGGTTTTTTTTGAAAATAAAATAATAAGTGACTTACTTGCAAAAACTGCTTTGCTCACAAGTTTTAAAATTTCCTTTATCAACCGAAAAAATCTGTACAATTTGCATAAATAATATTATAAAAAATTTCATGATTGATTCTATAACAAAAGTTAACATCAGTGACTCTTTGAAATAAATGCATAATCATCATATAAAAATTTTAAATTTTATTTTGTAAAAATTTCAAGGTATTTTTCTACTTTATTATTATTATAATCCTTACTTTTCGCCTCATTAAAACTAAGGCTAAAAGTAAGGATTTTAAGGAGATATTTTCCTAATATTTAAGTAGATTTAGTCGCAAATAACAATTTTTTGAAAGAAAAAGTAAGGAGAAATCAATTACATTAAAAACAGAATCTTATTTTTTTCAATAAATTTTAAATATAAACATCAAAATTAAATTTTAAATGTCAAACTATCAAAGAACTATATATTCACCTCTTATTATCCTCATAATTCTTATAAGTATAATCCATTTACTTTAATAAAAATTCCTAAATAATTAAAAAAAATAGGGAAAAATTAAGAAATAGAGAGAAGTCAAATTTTAACTTTTTTAAGGTTATTTAAGGACTTTAACAAAGGTTTTTTTTTTAAAGGATATTTGAAGTTTTTAAGGAGGAATGGGAACCCTGACATATATATATATATATATATATATATATATATATATATATATATATATATATATATATATATATATATATATATATATATATATATATATATATATATATATTATTATTATTATTATTATTATTATTATTATTATAAATATTATATTATCTACATACACACATATATATATATATATATATATATATATATTATATATATATATATATATATATATATATATATATATATGTATTAAAATTAAAGCTGGATCTTTCTTGAATAAGCAAATGTTTAACTCAATGGACTAAAATGCTGACCTTTGGAACTATTAAAAAGTAAAAGAAATTAACAAACTAATGACAAATTCTTCCTAATATAAAAACTGCACCTATATTTCTCTTGATGTAAATAATAATTTGAATATTTTAGAAAAGCAACACAACAAGACCTTAAGAATTAGTCTGAAATGTTCCTAATAAAACAGATTTGTTAAAGTTGCCTAATTAATTAATCATAAAAAAATGTTTAATTTATCGTTTCATTCACAATGCAACATCTATCGGAAATGAACTATTTAAGTCATTTTATGTAAAGAATTAATAATTACATGTATATAACACTAAGCTTGTGAGTTCGAAAGATTTTATCAATATAGAATTGACTAAGAAAGGATTCATTATTCGTTAATGGTTTAAAATTATAAGATAACACAATAATTTAGTGAATTAAATTTGAAAAACTCCGAAAAAAAATCTTCTTAAAACATAAAAAGAAAATTTATTATTAAAATAAATAAAATTTAACTTTAAGCAAATGTTTTTTTAACTTGAATTAAGTTGCTTAATATTTCTTATTTTTGAGTAACTATTTTGAAATTCGACAGGAAGAAAGTTCCAAGAATGATTTGACTGCTATTTGATTGAATTAACACAATGCTATACTATACATACATTTAATAATATGTTATTAGTAAAATTGATATTCTTAAGCAGATAAAACAATTGTAGAATTGTTGCAAGCATATGGATAAACAGACGTGGATTGACGAGCAGCCATTTACAATAATTCCAAACATACTGGGCAGTTGAGCAAAACGCAGAATATATAAATATTTTTCATACACTTTCCGAAAAAAAGCATTTTCATATTTTAAAAGAAATATTGTTTATTGTATTTTTTTATTTACTATTTTTTTTTTTTTTCTTGTGGTTATTTTAGCCACAAAATAACATAATTAACTATTGAATAAATACCGCAAACACCCCTGAAAGCAGCTCAATAATCTTATTAACCCGTATTGACTTTCTCAAGCTACTATTATATTTCTTGAACCAAGTATGTAGCATCATTACCAATCTTTCCTTCCATTAAACAACTTTTAAATTTAAGTTTTTTTTAAAAACTTAAAATTTAGAATTCTGCAAACGATATCTTTCCCTAAAATAAAAAGGGTTCTGAACTTTTTATCATATTTTTTAATCATTTGTTTACCGATGGTCCTTTTTTATTTTATTTTTTTTAACATCTTCACTTCCATTAAGGCTTAAAGCAACCCCTATTATAGTTTGAAGTTACTGAAAGAGAAAAAATGAAGTTTATAGAATAGGGTGCCCAGATGTCCTGATTTTATCAGGATGTCCTGATTTTTTCCTGAAATTAGAGTTCCCGTCCTGATTTCCTGAAATTCGAGTTCCCATCCTGTACTTTAAGATAATTAAGCTTAGGGGTCGTCCATAAAGCACGTACATTTTTTTCGCCCCCCCCCCCCCCCCACGCATTTTACAATACGCTTTTTTGAGTACCCTCCACCTCCCTTAAAGTACTTACGCTTTTAACCTAATTATCTAACATTTTATGATATTTTTTTTAATTTAGTGCCTCCTTTCTTTTATAATTGACCCACTGCTCTCATATCTCATATGCGCCATTTGCAGACCCCCTCTTCCCCTCCGAGCGTACTTACTTTATGGACTATCCCTTACAAGCTCGAGAAAAGTTTGAGGCCATTTTGAATTGACTACGAATTCACGAGACAGCTCAATAAATAAATGATGCGTTGAGCTATTCGCTGTATGAACCGTAAAGGTGTTGTAAGTCTTGTCTAATATTCGCCAAAGAATAATTAACGGCCCACATCTACAGTTTTACACACGTGCGTAATGCACGACTTACGAGCAATAATGACTTATAAACAACTTAATGAATTATGAACAACACGTTCCTAAGTGACACAATGACTTAGAAATAAGTCATTACATCACCTAATGACTTATGAACGTGTTGTTAATCACGTTTTCAAAGCCACTTGGGAATTTCGTTGTGAATTGTTATATGAGGTTTATTTTGTTTTTTAATTTATGATTCGCAGTCAGTTTCAATTCAATCGTTTCATTTTCAGATACATAGATTCTCTTATTATATATAATGCGCCAATAATTATTTGTTTCAGCACTTTTGTATTCTATTCAATAATTTTGTATTTAATTTGAATGTTTTTATTATTAATGATAATTAAATTACTATTAAATTATAAAACGGATACAAAGAGGAAGAATCTTTATCGAGAAAAATATTTTAAAGACTTTGGTGGTATTAAAAAGAGTAAAAAGGGAGATTATTTCGCATTCTGTTCATATTGTTTTATCGGATATCGATATTAGAAGTAGCGTAACAAGGGACACTTAAGCGCTAATATATCTAATACGGCCCTTCTAACAACTTTTGAAAAAATAACTTGATATTTTTCAATTCTTCTACCATTCTACTTGAAGCTTGAAAAGTATTAGTTGCAAAACTGCAGTGGTTTGGTCACCAGAGATCATTTATTGACAGCACCTATCCTGTCTCATTTTGCCCCGCATACTGGGGCAAAATGAGACAGATTTTTTTTTTTAGTAATTTAAATAAATAAAGTTAAACAAACAGATCTTTAAGAGGATTAACAAGAAATACATTTTATAATATATTACAGCTATAATCAAACTATATATATATATATATATAATATATATATATATATATATATATATATATATATATATATATATATATATATATATATATATATATATATATATATATATATATATATATATATATATATATATTTTATATATATATAAGGCTAGGAAAAAGTATTATATATATATAAGGCTAGGAAAAAGTATAATAACAACACTTAAAAATTTGTAATTTTCGCGAAGCCGAGGGATGAAATGATTCCCCTTTTACTCAACTTTTTTATTTTAAAGTGACTCAATATATTTTTCTTGACACAAAATAGTTTTTGAACACAACTGCACTTTTGAAAATCTTGCAAATTATAATTTGTAGAGCTGGCATCATATTAAACGCAAACTGTCTTGTATTGCCCCGCTGTTTCATTTTGCCCCGCGTTACCCTACAGGCGAGCGAGCAACTTCTAGACATAGTAGTACTAAACTTTATGATGAAAATTCAAAACCCAAGAAATCAATAGCTCAAATAGGGCTGTTTTTTGTTAGTAAAAATACGCCGTTATGTAAGAAAAAATCACCTGCATAAGTAGTTCTGCATAAGTCGTTCATTCGCTTTCATTCCGAAGTAATGAATGTACTAACAAACTTTTGACAACAATTTTTCGTTGAAATGATATTATTTAAAATTTTGACCTACTTTAATGGGTTGACGTTGCGCCCTGAAAAGTTTAGGAAATTTTGTGAATTCGTTGAAATTGAATATGCGACTTTTTCTACACATTCGCGTACTAGGTGGCTGAACGTGCTACAACTTATCAAACGCATTTCAAAACTGTGGGCTGCATTAAAATCTTTTGCCTTATCATCTGCCGATGTTCCAAAAGTTTATGAAAATTTATTTAACAATGATTCAAGCAAAATTTATTTCCCGTTTCTTCATAGCGTCTTGCAATTATTTTAGCAGACTATATTGACTCTGGAAAAAAAAGATTTACTATTACCAGAAATGAAAGATGCTGTAACTACTTTAAAAGAAAAAATGCAAAAAAGACTTCAACAAAGCTTTTTTGGTGCAATAACAGTTTCTAAACTACTAGGTTTAGATGATCCGTATTCGGCCAATCAACTTAAAAGTGAATTCATCGACTTTTATACAACGGCGAAAAATTATATTGATATGTGGTTATTCTTAGATAATTATCCTTTTTAACCGATTGGTTGATGTTAAAAGCTAATATTAAATATGAAAAAGTTCAAAAGTCGGCTGAGTATTTATTACCAGAAATTGCTATGAAAGATTCGTTGTTTGATGAAACAAATGAATTAAACTCATTAATGGGTACTTCTTCTGATATATTAAAGAATTTGCCTATGGATAAAAAATGGCCCACTTTGTAAGCGTAATATAATCAATTCCTACATTAAACGCGGCTGTTGAAAGAGTATTTTCCATGCGCAAAAAACAGTGGATAGACGATCGAAATCGATTGAATGTTAAAACCGTTAAATGCTTGCTTCAAATTAAAATAAATCATTCTTTATCGTGTGGC